TAGAAAGGCAGAACCTAAGTCATGAACGTGCTGGGCTAATCTGACATTACTGGGTTCTTTATGGAGTTAGGTTTTTGTTAATTTTTGTAACAAAAGGTTTGGTTTTTTTAAACTTAAAAGCGATAGTAGTGAATATGTTTTTCAGGGATATTAGCCAGGAGAGTGCTTTCCATGTGTATATTGAATATTACTGGAACTGACTTTCCAGCTCACGAGTGACACCTCCTGTTAATAGCTTGCAGTCCAATTTAGAATTGACACTATTTTATAAACTAGCGCTGCTATGAAACATCTCATGCTAAAGAGAACTGAGAAGGGCAGACTCGGAAGGCTTTGTGGGCTCCAAGTGGCCTGAAGTGCCACTCTGTGACATCCAGTGATAGTGTTGCAAACACTGTTTACTGGCTTGTTTGAATTCTTCAGACCTACTTTGTCAACGTGTTGCTTTCCTCTGGTCAGTGGGTCTAGTTGCTTGTGGCCCTTTTTAGCTCTCCTTGCTGAACAAGGTCCTTGCTTTTGATGTGCTGTTGCTGTCTGGTACTTGATGCCTTGGGAGAGGGAAAGAGCCTCGTATCATCCTGGGCTTACGGAATGCCACCAGGCTGGTTTACAGACCTACTGCATGGGCTCACTTGCAGTCGGCCCATGATTGGAGGTAAGGGGTTCCAGCTTCAAATTCTCTAATGCTCCTGCAGTTATTCTCATTTTTTCTGCACTTGGAGAAGAAACAGGCAAGTTGTAGGTGGCTCTCGCTGGCCAGTAGCATAACTGACCTTTGCAAAAGTTCTACTATTAGTCCAAGCTTAAGAACAAACTAGTGATGGACAGACATGAAGGTTGATTCTACTAGAAACATGTAACCATATTTTTTACCTCAACTTGAGCAAAATGCACCTTTTGCAATTGTCATGAACCTCAGGAGCCTGAGCTAGATGCCATTTCTAGGCTTCAATGAGAAAACACCTGTACCTCCCCCCATGCCCCAACAATAGAAGATACACAGACCAAGGTTTTCACCATCCTTTCCATGTGCAGCTGTTGGAGCTCAGCAGGCTGTAACTTGATGGCTCTGCTGGGCCTGGTGCTGCTTTGTGTTCCCCTGCCCTGGCCTTGAAGGAGTTGGGGTGAAAGGTGCTCACTTTGCTTCCAAGCATACTCTGCAGCTTCAGGGGCAGTCAGCATGGCAAATGGATGCAGGGAGAACCTGAAAGGTTGAATCCAGGGGTCCTGAAAAGACAGCAATTAATAAATTAGTATACCTGCAGAAACTATGTGCTAAGAAAATGGGCATACTCTTCTGGTCAGCAGAAACTAAGGTAACTGCTTCAGCAGTCCTGATGGATAAATGAGCACCATTTGTAATCTCCATCCTAAATGTCACTAGGATGTGACTTTGGCTCCCTAAGTACCTATATATCTTAGTAAAGCTAGTCTTGATTTTCAAGGAGATTCAAGCCAAAGCTTCAAAAGTGATGAGAAGTAACAGGAATCTCCACCATTTTACTTCAGTGGGAAATATCCACAGAAACTGAATTTTCAGATGGGCTGTATTCCATCTCTTTGAGTCTAGGACTCTTAAGGAAGCGTAAGTTGAGCTCCAAGAGTTACTGTTAGTTTAAAACAGTAGGTTTAACCTCTTAAATGAATCAAGGCTTTGCAAAATAAAGTATCCTTAGCTTCCCAGCTCAGCAAAGCATTTTTGTTCCTTTCTCATAGGGTGGGAATGATCTTAAGCCCGTGAATAAAATGAAGTAGTGGTGTTGGCTGAAACAGAAACTGGAGATCCTGATAACAATGGCTTATCTTCCTCTTTAGAAAATTTTTTAACTTTGCTACCTTGTGACCATTAAGGAAGTGTCTCTGAGTCCACGAGGGACAGGATCTAGGCAAGTGCACAGTAACATGAGATTCTTTCTTTGTCTCTGCTTGCATAACATCAGAATATAAATCAAAGCTAAAAATACCACTAATAACCTCGCCTCCTCCCAAAGAAAAAAAACACCAAAACCCAAGCAAAAACTCAAACACCCCACCATGGGAAACAGCATGAGTAGCTGGAAACCTTTCAAGAAAATATCACTCCTCTGCAGTGTATGGTGAGCACTCAAAATAGAGATTTCTAAAAATATCCTAGGTTGGAAGTTCCTAGAGAAAAGTATTCCTGTCCATAAGAAGCAAGACAGTAAAAATATACAGTGTAATATTCACAGCAAAAGGAGGGACAGCTGATCCACCCACTTGTCCCAGGAGCAGAGAAGATCCCTCCTTCTAAATAACATATTGTGAAATGCCCTTACGTGGCATCTAGTGACATATCTAGTGCTTGACATGGAAGAATTCAACTAAGAGAGGTTACAGCTAAGGCTGTTCTGTTGCGTGGAACTGTGAGCTGGTGTAGCTCTGCCCTTTCTGGACACCGGGTGGCAGTCTGTCATTAATATTACAGCTAAGCATGACTGAGGTAAAAAAAATAAAATAAAGTGCACTGTCAATTACATGTGAATCATCTGTTATAGTCTGACTACAAGTCCACATCAACTTTTAATGATTGCTTGGGAAACATCGATAAAGTCTGTGTTACTGAAAAGAAAATCTATATATTCCAGTACAAATGCTTTTTCATTATGGAGCTGGGTCATATGGAATACTTTCCTGTGACTTGAGTCATGAATTAAAGATTATAATACCTTTCCTGTTTTTTAAAGGGCAATTATATGACTAAAGATATATTGCTAGAGAAAGTTGCTCTGAACACATGCCAGGCTGTATCTCAGAATTGCATAGCCTCTTCCCCTACTCCACACTAGTGGTAATAAGAGCACGCTGGTGGGAATGCTCCTCTGTAAAGCATTATGACAAAGGTGCAGGAGCTGTGTTGCATCTTAGTGTGGATGTGAGTAACTGGGCTGCCCTTTTCTTGCCTCTCCCTGGCACACTGTAAGATAGAGAAGGAGGTGGTGAATAATTCAGCTTTTTGCTCTGTCCTAAGAGAGGGCTGGAGCTTGTTTGCTGTTACTAATGGGGCAAAAGGGGCAAATGACTTCAGTTTAAAATGTAGCATTTTTTTTGAAAGGCGCAGATATAATAGGATCACTTCCTTTACAGATGCTGAAAAAAACCTAAATCACTCACATTTGCAGACCTCTGCCAGTGTGTTGCTGAGGGCCTCATGCTGTAAATCTCAAAGATGTCTTCTACAGGAATGCTGTTCTGCGAGCAGTAAAAGGTAAAAGGTAAAAAAAACAGGTAAAAGAGAGATTCAGCTCTCAGCAGTAGTATTCTTTCAAGTGAATGAATGAAATCCAGCTCCTATCCCCTTCCTTTGATCTCTGAAACAGCTTTCACATGAACTTCTGGTATTGTTTCGTACTGCTGGTACAAATCTATTGAGATCTGGTCCAGAAACTTGCTTGCCATTTTGCACTTGGGTGAAACAAGTTAAGTAACATATACACACCTACTGAAACTGACTACCTTGTTTTCTAAGACTGAGCAAAACTTAATAGCTACTTGATAAAAATGGAATGAATTTGTAATATTTGCACTGTCTGTATACCGTGCTTTTAATGAACAAAGACATCTGGGGTACAGGGAGTTTTCTATTCCATTCTATTCTATTCTATTCTATTCTATTCTATTCTATTCTATTCTATTCTATTCTATATGCCATAGAATAAAAGATACTGCCATCTTTCTTGTGCTCTTACCATTAATATTCCAGCGTATGAAGATAATATCATAGCTTCTCTCTCAGTTCGGTTGGGATATGTTGTTGCGAGCTGCAAAGCTCCTGTATAGTGTTTTGAACAACAAGATTATTATCCTGGTGGTATAAATGCAAAAAGTAGTCCTGGGGTCGATTCACTGCTGCTTTTACCTCATTTTCACACTGGTGTAACCCACCGCAACAGCAGGACCTTAGCTTTTCAATACTCACATTTTCTCTCTTGTCAGTGCAATCGGAGCATCCAAGTCACTAAGCCACAGTAAAGCAACACTGAGGGCTAAGTTGTAATGGACCTGGAAAGACAGAAGAATCTCATTTGTTTTGTTTGACTGTAATTGCTTGACTGAGGGAAGACAGAAAGACCAGGGTAATGCAGGGAAACCTGAGCTGTGCCCAATACTCCCTCAACTAACTGGGTACCTCACTTGTTGTAAGACACTTGATGAGGTTTCAGAGGTTTAAAATACATCCAGGAAGACTTTCTGTTTTGTTATGCAGCAACAGACTTGGCTTGTGAATTGTGAAGAATAATCTTTGGTTAGTTGACTTAACTTTATCAAATGTCTTCTGTGAATAGCTTTTTCTTGCTAAAAAAACCAACAAAATCTTGAATTATCTTGGATACATTATACCCAGATGCTATTCACAGCCAATTTAGGTACTCATTTCAGTAATGGGCTGCTATTTGTCATCGTAGGGATAGGTTATTTAGCTGTACCAAATAGCCATCCTTCAGAATTCTCAGGAGCCCCACAGTTAAAGAGGATAGGAAGTAGGAATTCTGGTGATTACCATGTCATCTAGAAAGGTGGGTGGCCTTTGTCCTCTTGGATCAAATTCTTTTTCTCGTAGTCTGATGCCAACATAATCTCCCCTTAAAGCAAGGAAATAACTCTAAATTACAGCTGATTCTAAGCAAACCAGTGCAAAGGAAATGTAATAGATGACTTTAAAGATACTGCAAGACCAAGGCTAAATTCACTATGATTCAGGGCTAGGAATCTGCTGCAGGATTTCTCACAGATAGTTCCCAAGTAGGAAAGCTGTTAGTTTTTTGCATCTCTGCTAATCTTACCTTCCTTCAAACCACACTGCTGTCTTCTAAAGGCTCCAAAATAGGAAGAAGAAATATGAAACCATTATTTAAAGTCTGGGGACTCACAGAAGAATTTCACTGTACAGAGAATGAAAGAGATGCTTCACTGGTGCTTGTTCTTCTCGTTCAAAGGAGGCCTGATTCTGCAATCTTTCCTCAGATGAAGTACTACAGATCCATGCCAGCATTCCTAGAGAAGATGGGCACAGGACTTGTGTGGAATAGAGGGGATACTGCTTATATCCCTGAGGAGTTGTCTGCTGGGCAGTCCTGCATTGAAGAGCACGAGACACTGCGGCATGAACTAGGAGACCCCTTAGAGACAGCAGCTGCCCTGGATGCATTGCAAGGGGGGAATTCTGCACCTCTCTGGTTGCTCCACTGAGCAAGTTCTGGGCTGTGATGATTCTATTGTCACATGTGCAGTCAGGGCTTACACTGCAGACTGCATGCAAGAAATTGTCAAAAGAAGTCTGTTTACACTTTCCAGCAAGAGAAGACTAAGGTTTGAGAGTTGTCATCCACCTAGTCATACAACCATTTGCAATGAAAACAAGCCAATCTAGTGCAGTGAAAGCAGTTGTGGGCAGTTATTACTTACAGGAGTTTTTCAATCTTTTTCTTCAGGTGTTTTCTGTCCATATTCTAGTTGTCATTGTAGCATAAGCTCAATGGGATCTAGGAGAGAACCAAGTGTCTCTGCCAGTGAACAAATCTCAAAAACAGATAAAGAGAACGTGACACTTGGAGACCTCCTACAAAAATCTAGCCAAAATAATTTCCAAGGTAGGATTAAAATAGAAACTGACAAAAATTTAGTCAAGAAAGAAGACAACATGAACAGTACTGAGAGTGATGGTAAGGAGTTTGGTAATGGGAAATGGGCAGAATGAACCCATTTAGAATAAGCATCAATCCTGAGCATCAGCTTGCAGGTTGCCTGCATCCCCAACATAGTGATGTATATCTCTCATATAATGCAAGCTATTGACCTGCTGCCGATTACAGGTTTCTTAGCACAAGGCTTGCTCTCCCCACTGTGTGTCTGTTAACCAGATCTATGTGGCAGAAACAGGGGATAGACTGGGAAGAGGACAGGCTGAAAGATGAACTAACAGCAAAGAGAGAAGCCAGCACCTGGCCCACCAATTTATTGTAACATTAAAGCGCGTGCTCCACTCCTTTGCTCCATAATACACAAAACTCTCTGTTACTGAATATTGTCCCCCTGTTCTACATCTCATACATGTACACACGAAATCATGCACTACCTGTGTCAACTTTTGCAATAGGCCTCAGGATCTGGATTTGGAGCCTCTCTGACTTCAGGTATTTATGAGGAGGATTTCCCTCTTGATGTTGCTGTTCCTTTCTTGCCTCTGTCTTCCTTTGTGTACCAGGGAAATTAGGCTATGGCTTCATGCAGGACTGCTGCTTAGAAACAATGTTGCTTGGAAACAATGCTGCCGAGCTGAGAGAAACTGAAAGAAAAAAACCCCAAACAACAAACCAAAACCATCACAAAGAAGAGGTTAAACCTGCACCTTCAGCTTGGGTTATCAGTTTCAAGCTAGATGATCCTAATACACTTCTAGGCATTGAGTTACACTGCTGAGTGGCTAGTTGGAAGCATAAAAGACTCGCTAACAAGGGAGGCAGAGACTATTCACCAGGTTTTCTGACAGATCAAATTCCTTGTAAAAGATACCAGCTTCTACTGTTTCAGCATTTCACCAAATGGAATGGTGAAAGACTAGACCTGATACCTGCCAAGAGCCCATCTACAGTTCCATTTCCAGTGTTTATGGCATATAGCAAGGATGCTGCTACTTGTTCTTTCATCTATGTTATGTTTTTGCTTATAGTATTGAGAGAAATTCTAACAGTCAAAAAATCCCAACATGATGTTCTAAACCTCACTGTTGTCCTTCCAATGGAGGCAGGGCACATCTTGCACGGGATTGCTGATGGTAGCCAATGTGTCATGATGACTAGCAAGTCAGTGAGAAGCTATTGGATTTTGTAGATTAGGAAAGTTTGCAGGCTGTAGCTCTGAATGGAATGAGCCATCCCTCTTCTTGGAAATGTAATTCTTCTGTTATTAACTAGTAAAAAATAGGAATGATTTTATGAGAATGATCATAATGTTGCCTCTCTTTGTGACGGCCCAAGAAAACATAAAAGGAAATGTGTTATCATGAGACATAGATGTTTTCCAGGAAGATGTCTACTTTGTATTTATAGAATTTGTGTTGTGCTTTCCATTCGTTATTTCATTTGCCATTCTCAATGGGGAAGAGATGGAGGAAATGTACTGGCAGGCGTCAAACTTTCTCAGTGTATTTCTCTCTTCTCCAGTTCAGGACCTTCTTCAGCAAAAAGTGTTGCATTGGTTGTCAATAGCCCTTACTTGTTTTTAACTTTCACAAACTTGTCCAATCGCTTTTTTAGTAAGTAAAATTGAAATTTTGAGTAATTGACATCTGCAATATTTCCTGGCAAAGATTTCCACTATTTAAATAGAGAGTCTCTGGTTTTAAAATGCCAACTGTTAATTTAATTTGCTGAGCAGTGTGCTTAATAAACTTAGTAAAGTAACTTAATAAATTTAGTAAAGCAAGTTTAGACCCCTCAACTGTAGAATTTGTCACACATGCAGCATAGAATATGTCTTAGAGGATACTTATGTCTTTTTCCCAGACCACAGCATATTTAACAGCAGTGTATTTCCCCAGAGCAAGAAATAAAGCTACAGGCAGCTGTGTGTCCCTGCAAAATTGTAACCCACTGCAGGTCTGATTTCAGGGCAGATATAGAGGGTGTTTGGTCAATCTGCTACTTAATTAAGTTGGAGTGAATAAATTTATTTAATAATTGGCATTATTTAATGCTTATCAGCTACTGTATTAACAAATATCACATAAAATAGTTGTAGGATTCAGGACTCTTGCAAAGAGCTACCATTCACATGCCTGTGGCAGCAGGTGTGATGTCCAGGTGTTAGAAGGATAAATTACTTGTTGGTAGAATTGCCTTGCTAAGGTTTAGGTCTTGACATGCTTCAATGATCTCAGCTCCAGCGGGACATTAAAAAAGTTTGGAGAGAAGGATATACTACTGATAGTGGACACAAAGAATGCAGAATTTATGAGCCACAAAGACATTTGGCAGAACTCCCAAGATGAGGAAGAACCTAACAAAGCCAACTCATCAACTGTGCCGAAATCATCTCCAACTAGGTAAAGGATAATTCTGGCAGGGGCACATTGTGATTATTGATTCATGAAACCCACCAATTCAAAAGAAGAGCATATGGACTAATTAGCATAAGAAGTGAGGGAATTATTTAACTAATAAAAGATAGAATACTGATGAATAAGAGAACTATGCAACTTGTAGCCAATGAACATTAATGCCTTTGTTTACTAAAATGCATAAATAGTGAAAAGTTTTGATAGTCATCGTGCTGGTTTTGTGGATTTGACCCCCAGCATCCCTCTCAGCACAGAAATGTAAATAAATCAAATACCTCGACTCTACATGGGGACCAGCCAATAGCACACGAGTTAAAGGAACCCGTTTGGGGACAACAGGTAGACATGTTTTCACCAGCCTTATTCTCTTGGCACCTCTGCTATAAATTGCATCTCCACTCTAAATTGTTGTTTTTCAACTTATTTGGCTGCTTTTTCCTTATGTGTCATTTCCTTAAGATATTCAATGTCATCACGCCAGCATATATAATGTCAGCTTCTTGAGGGCAAATTCAAGGGTGTCTGGAAAACAGTGCATTAACTTGGGCTCAAGTGAAAATTACATAAGAAAACAAATCATTTTAATAGACAGTAAAACGTGACTGTCAGGTGACAGCTGCAAGCCAAGCTCTGTGCACGAACCAACCCTCATTTTTGGGTGAGATTCGCCCTTCAGAACAATCCTCGGGCTTTTCTCAGGCATTCCAGGAGCGGTGTAGCTCCGTGGGGCCGAGGCAGGTGGCGGTGGCAGCGCCTCAAAGTTCGGCGCTTCCAGCCCGAAGGCAGCGGGGCCGCGGGGGCCGGGAAGGCGCGTTTCGGGGTCCGCGTTCGCCGTGAGGGCGGGCAGAGCCTCCCCGGCCCCGACGGGACGAGGACGTCCCTCTCGCCGTCATCTCGCGGGGCGTGGCGAGGGGCGGGCTGCCCGCCGGCCCGCTCGCTTTCAAAAGTCGCTTGGCGGGCAGGGCTTCCTCTTCCTCCTTGCGCCCTCCCCTCCGACCCTCTCCGCGGCGAGAGGCAGCTGCCCCGTCCGCAGGTGAGCTGGGGATCCGTGCAGGGGGCGGCGGAACTGTGCCCAGAGCTGCTCGGGCCATGAGGGGCCGCGGGGCCGCTGCTTGGGGGTAGTACGAGTCTTGGCCGCCAAGGACTTGCTGGCGGGGAATACGGGTGCTAACCCTGCTCGGTGTCACTCTACAGCGATGGCCGCCGACACGTCCTTCTTCAGCCTGAGCGGCGTAAGAGAGAGGATGCGGGAGAAGAAAAAGGGTGCCTTGAGGACTGCGAAGTTGAATGCCTCGCTCGTATCCAAAATCAAAACGAAAATCATTAGTGAGTGTATTTTGCGTTGCAGTGCGTGCAGGGGCTGGCAGCTTCATCAGCTTGGAACTGTGCCTTTGGCCAGGGCGGTGGGCCGCAGTCTCGGCAGCTTCTCTGCCCGAGGGCTTTCTAGTGAATTCAATGCCCTGCAAATGAGTGTGAAGTGTCACTCAAGGTGCCCAAGGGTGTCTGAAGTATCTGTGACTGACAGGTTTAACACAGAACCTTTGGAGCAGCAGCTTGGGGCGTCAAAGGCTGCTCAGCAGCATCTCAGATGACATCAGACATCTGTGTTTGGGAAACTGAGTCCTCAGGGTCCAAATAGCAAAAACGAGAGGTGTGGAAAGTATTTTAGTGTATATGCAATCCTGTGCAGAAGCTAGTCCAACTGTGACTTGTTTTTATGGGGAAAACAATGCAAAGATAGCACATGAGATAATTTGGACTACTTTGAAAAAATTAGATATTTCTATTACTCTTATTTAATTGTTTTGAAATTGGGAAACATGGCTCTAAATCTGCTCAAGGACAACTAAAGGAAAATAGGTTTTTCTCCCACTTTTTGGATAGAGATGAGGACTCAGGTGGCATATTCAAAGCCAGAAGCATATCTTTTCAAACTCAGTACCTGAACCATGCTATCATTCATTAAGAATTGAAGCAGTAGCTTGCTACCTGAGCATGACCAACTGAGGATGAAGAGGGTGTCTGAAGTGTTGCAGGTTATTATGGAAATTTTGTCCCTGCTCTTCTCTGGAGACTTCTTTTGCTGGAAGGAATTATACTGCTGGTTTTGTGTGGGCTGTTGAGTTGTAGAGATCCAAATCTACGGAAAGCTGTTCTGTAAAGAGGAAGAAGAAGTATGATGAGGGAAGAGGCATGGATGAAACCTCGGATGCTGATTCTGTGTGATATCTCTCCATCTCTTACAGACAACTCTTCTACTATTAAAGTCTCCCTGAAACACAACAATAAAGCATTGGCTCTGGCCCTCAATGCAGAGAAAGCCAATGCACAGCGGCTCACCCAGGAGAAAACCATCTTACAGAAGGAGGTGGAGCAGTGCCACTTCCAGAATGCTGTGCTGCGGCACAGGCTCTCCTTCCAGGTATGGCACTAGCAACGTGGCTGGCATGGAGAGGTGTGGTAGGCAAGGCATGCAGCACCAGCATCTCAGCCTTGGGAAGAGTGAGCTGTTGCTGATTGTCCAAATTCTCAGCATATGAAAAAGGTCACCATTCATTTGCTTTTTTTTTTTGCAAGCTGTGTTCTCCCCAGTTCCTTGTTCTAGCTACCGATATCCTTGTTGGAATAGATGTTTTAATTTAATGTCTTTATGGTTTCTCTCTCTTTTATTACCTCAACAGGATCATATCTTGAAAGAATTTGAAAATCTTATGGCTGCAGTTAAGACGGCCCGGCTGTCTGAGGTAAACCATGGGAAACATGAGCACACTGCTCTGGGAAGGGGTCTTTGTTTGTCTCTGTCTTTTGCTTTGTGTTGCCTGCTCACTGCAGTGTTGGATGCTTCAGCTGTTTTTATTTGCTTGCTTGAATTATGCTGGCTGCATCCTTGTTTTTAGCTCGATGTTAAGGATTTCTGCGGTAATTTATTCTGTAGGAAGGGCTACAGTTTTAAACTGCTTTCCTCTAGATCACTGGCTGTATTGACCAGTAGGCTCTTCTGCTCTGATACGTTGTGACTTCTTTTCAATTTATTTTTTAAAGTATTGCCATGGCAACTTGGGAAGGGAATAGGACATTTTCCCTATGTCCTGTCTCATGGGTGGATGGGGAAAATATTCCTGCTTCCTAGTCTCATATTATCTGTACTAGTTTAACTTCATCCTTAAGCTTGTGGAGACAGAATCTAATTATTTCATAATTTTTTATTTTATAATTTATGCAATTTTAAATAGGAGTGGGTCACTGGCAGCATTTTACATTCTTTCCAGAGTGAAACTGAGTTCCTGCTGTTTCTGTGCATGAGGCTGCACTAAGGATTGTAACAACTTTAACCCATTCTTCTATTTCTCTTCCTTCCAGTTCCATACAAATTCTGCATCCTTGTCCAGTGGCCAGAAGAGCAGCATGACTGAAGATTGCTGGGCTGATGATATTGCAGATGGTCATCTTCTGAGGTGGGCCTTAAAATGATATCAGCAAGCTTGTCCTGAATTTCTAGATGCTAAACTTCTTATGTTTTATGTGTGTGCCCAGTTACCAGTTTTATGTGAGATATCTTCTCTGAACCTCCACTGCTTGATGTTTTCCTTTACTCTGTGTCTTTCTGCTGCCACTCCTTGTCTTGTTTGTCCTAATGCCAAGTCTGTGCAAAAGCTGGTCCTTCTGCCTTCTTTATTTGAGAGTGCATTACTTTTGGGTAGTTTTCCCTCTGTAGCTGGTGAGCACTGCAAGATTTCCTTGAATGAGTGAATGCCATAGCTGGCCGATTTGATGTTTGTTACATACATATGCTTAATAGTCACCTGCTTGTATGATGTAAACTTGTATTCTGGAAAAATGATCAGAGCAGGATCTCTTAAAATGTATCTGAAGTTCTGTTTCTCCTCTGTTTAGTCTCCCCTCAGAGCACAGGGGAGTCCTTGGAGTTGCCCACACGCGTAGCACCAGGCAGCTGCGTTGGTGTTCCACAGCAAGGTGAATGTGTGGTCACAACCTGTGTGCTGAAAGGCCTTTACTTCCTTGTTCCCTCAGTGTATTTTTCTCCTACTTGTGTCCACAGCAGTGTGATCTCCTTATGTGTTATGCTTGCCCAAAAGTGGGAAATCTGTCCTACCTGGGCAGTGTGTGTTCTTCAACACTTGAAGACTTCAGAAATATATTTTGTCAACTCCTGATGGAGGTGAAAGCTGTAGTTACCCTGCTGGATTCTGTGGCTGTCATATAGATGGAACATGCTCCATTGCTGTTATTCCTTCTCACCAGGGTTACAGGGATACCAATGAGGGTGCCCATTTCCAAGCTGTGTGATGCAGGACAGCAAGGTGGCAGCTCCACAGCAGTACAAACATCCTCAGGAGAACTTCAGAGACCTGCTTCTAATGAGCCCCTGAAAATTGTGCCTGTTGCCTCCAAAGACACTTTGTCACCACAGCATTCTGAGGAACCTCAGTCCCACCACGAAGAGAATGGGAAGAAGTTCACTGAAACAAAGGAAACGCAGGAGGCTTTTCATGACTCTTGCATCTTTGGAGGTAAATTTGCATCTTTTGCTGTTCTTCTGGTATGACTTTGTGTGTCTGTGCTCAGAAATGCATGAGTGCAGTGACAGAGTTCCAGTTAGCTCCTAACCATGACTCCAATAGCTGGTAGGAACTGCATGCTTCTCTGGTGCTGTTATTGCTGTAGTTACTCGTATCCCAGAATGGGATGTGTTGCTGTGGATATTTGGCATGTTTGCAATAGTTCAAGATTGCAAATCAGGCTTTTTGAGCAATAGGCACTGAGCCTATAAGATTTTCAGAAATGTCTGAAGGTGCAGAATCTGACTAGATGCACAACTTTTCCTTGTGGATTTGCCATATGAGTAATAACTCTTATATGGATCATGAGTGTTCCTAAATATTATCGCAGGTTACGGGATTTTGCTTTGGAATGTCTTTTTGTTCAGAGGGGGAGCCAGATGAGCAATTCTGTTACACGGAAAGTTTGGGGAGTCTCTGTAGAGACAAAATCATGCTCTGGATTTGTGGCAGTGTGTGGGGCAAGGCTTTTCGTGGTATGGGGAAAGCTGGCATTTGCCTGCTGCATTTCTCCATCTTAGGAATGAATTTTATCTTTCCAACAGAGGTCTTGTGCACTACCGAACAAAATCCCGACAGTTTCCCAGCCCTTGCCTGGGAAAGTCATCGTCTTTCGTGTGAGGCTGATGAGATGGCAAAACATTTCCTTGATCGTCTCTCACAAGGGCACGTTACTCAGAGGAGAAAGCGTTCCACCCTATTTGCTACAAGCACCCCATCTTCTGGTGTGGGTATCTTCCCATGTGTCAGTTCCACTCAGGCTGCTTTGTGTAGTATCACAAAGGACAACAGCAGCTCCAGCAACAACAACACACAGCAACAGCTGAAATCACCCAGCTCCCTGGCTTCACCTACACAAACCACTTTTATTTCTGATAGAAAATCTGTGGGTAAAGAGACTTTCTGTGATCAGCCACAGGCTAAAGAAACTGAGTGTGGTGTTGAAACGGACTCCACCTATAGCCAAGTCCCTGAGTTTGTTCCTATAAAGGTTAAAAGCAAAGGTAGTTGTAAAACTGGTGAGAAAACAACTGTTAAAAAAGCAAGCACAGGAAAAAAGAAAACAAACACAACTAAAAACAGTGCAGAAAGTAGTCCTGATGTATCTCAAAGTGAAGAGTGTGCTCAAAATGCAAAGAAACTTCTTCAGCCAGAAGTTGCAACATGCTCTACTGAGTCAGAAGTTTTTGAGGTGGGGCAAAAGGCTTGTGTGGGGGCTTTTGACAGCAAGAACAGAGACTGTAGTGTGGAGCACCATTCCCACTCTCCTGATAGAATCCAAGATCTTGAAAGTACATATGTGGTGAATCCAGGACAGCTGCCCAGTCTTGAAAGTGGTGACTTAATGCAACAGGTTAAGAAGGGACCTATCTTTGAGATCCAAAATATGGAGAGTTTATTAAAAAGCCCAGTTCATACTTTTTCAAGTCATGAAATTCCCTCAGATGATTCCAGTCCCCAAAATTCACTTTGCTTCAGGAAAGAGACCTCAAGTGCCTGTGCTTTGCAGGAGGACTCAAGTGTGAGCAGAAAGAGCATCAGACAGAAAACCAACAGAAAAACTAGAGTAATTAGGCAAAGAGATGATTCTGATGAGGAGTATCTGCCAAAGAGTGTGAAAATACGAAAGGCCAAAGCTGAAGAACATCCTAAAAGAAGCCAGACAACGAGGAAAACTGTCAGGTTAAGCAATTGTGATCAGAGAAACGAAGTTGATGTTTTTGGGCCCTGTATAGATGTTCAAGGAGTAGCTAAGGAGGGCACAAAGGATTTGCCTGGTAATGTTAAACGTAACAGGAAAACTTACATTGTCCATCCTTTGGATCTTGCAGGAAACTTGGATTGCATCCAGACAGAATTTGATGGGGGTGAAAATGTACCTCCCCGGTCAGTTCCTGGGATCAAAGCTAGCAAAATCCCCAGAGCTGCTAAGAACTATCGAAAGAGCAATAAAAAACAGACAGGGGGCCTTCAAGAACAAAGGCAAGCTAATGTTGACAACAACATGAGTGATTTGAAAAAAAAAGCCTATTGCAAACCCAAGCCTCAGAGGAACAACTCTAGACCTCCAGAGTCTGATTCCCTGGCCAGACAAAGTGATGGTGCCAATGTTCTCACTGGAAGTTCAACAGAACTTGCACCCAAGCAAACCGTCCCTGTGGCGAAGTTTTCCTTCATTACAGATCTGCTGTCTGAGCCAGATGGCTTCCTGGAGGAGCAGATACCTGAGATATCACTTACAAATACTCTTATGGACCTTCCTAACAATCTTGAATCCTCCTCTGTTACCAGTTGTGCAGCTTTGCCTGTCAGCTCCAGGCTTACTGAAGTACCAGTTTCCAAGAACTTGAGTGCTGAGGGCAACAGAATGCCAGAAAAATCCCCTGTTTGGCTGAAAAGCTCCCTGATGTTTAAGGAAAAGACTGCAGAGGAAATACCTGGGGAAGCAAACCAAGTTCAGTCAAGTTCTCAGAGTTCACCTTCACAGGAACCTGGTAGGTGGTAGGCTGGGGAGGGTACCTGTGTTTGGAGATGAGGAGAAAAGAATCCGTGCAGCAAATGCTTATATTTTATTTCTTCTCTTTTTTCAGAGTTAAAGATCAGTCTCCAGTCTGATCATTTATGCTTCCACTGGTGCTGGCCAGTCATTTCTGTGGCTGCATTTGCTTTCTATCAGCATTCCTATGAGAATTGCTGGCCATTTTTTCCACTTGTGGATATTGGGAAAAGTCTAGCAGCATGTGCTGCAAGTCTTGTTTTACCACTGTTGTTATCTACAGAGCATGCCTATTAATTTAGAAAATCAATTACTCAAGCAGTTGAAAAATCTAATTTGATGCTGACCCTGCTTACTGGAGTCAGCATTATCGGGCACAGAACATGAAGAAGATGGCAAATTTTTGGTCCAGAGTGGTTAGTGCTGCAAGGTTTCAGATTTCATACCTCTAGGTGAGATCTTCACTGGAAATTAATCAGGAGCTAACCTAAATTTTTTTTTTTAAGGATTTGGAGAGTGTATCCCTTGGCTGGTAATACAATAGTTAAGCTGATCCTTTTGAGGAGTTTGCTATTAGTGGATGCTCTGTAAAGAGAGTAATTTCATGGGGTTTTTCTTTCTGTAGCTGTTGACGAACAGGCCTGTTACAACTAGAGTGGGCTGTACTTTGTAGAGAGGGAGTAAGTTTGTTCTCCTGCCCTCCCCCTTTTTTCTGCCTTCACTTTGAAAGCTGCAGTGAACATTGGTGTGGTCTTGTCTTGCTAGAAGTTGGTAGGTTGCTGGTAGGTTGTTTGTGTGCCGTAAGCTTGCTCTCTCCTCCAGGCTGTAAGCTCCTGGGTATTACAACTATCAAATATATTTTTTGTATCATTTTTCTACTACACCAGGGCCCATGATACTAGCAGTATTAGTAATCTAATTATGTATTTTTTCACTGAGGAACCTAATTTGATTTATGAGATGACTTTTGAGGAGCAGGTCTGGTATTTTTAGATTAAAATGGTCTCCTGAGTTTAGAGGGAATGTGATTTGGATTCAGGTTTGTGCAGTGTTCAGAGAAATGTGGTAATGCAGTCCTTTCTATTTGGCAGCTGTTATTTCTTAGGCTATCTGGAAATTATTTGGAATCACTTTGATCAACTCATGTGAATGTCTCCCTTTGCAGAGATCAGACCACTACAGGACTTGAACAATACCAGGATTCTGTCCTGTTCCATCTCAGAAGAAGTATCAGGGCGCTCATCCAGGCGGAGACGGAACCCAGCCTGCTATAAAGAACCAAAACTCAACAGGTTGGGCTTTAAACTATTCTTTCCAATGACTGCTCCCATGCTGCAACACCTGCTCTGCTCTCATGTTTTCACCCTCCAGGGCTGGATCCTCTGTTGCTTTAAGTTCCTCTTACTCTTTATGTTCTGTGGTCCTTCTCTTCTGCCACAGTGTGGTTATGCCAAAATTCTGCATCATCACAGGGTGGATGTTTAGGCTTCTGGTAACAAGCTACCAAAGATGTTATTTCCCTTGTTGAAATGGGCATCTGTGGTACTCCAGTGCTAATGAGGCAGGAGCGTGAGGATAAAGTCCAGACTAGATAGAGATGGCTCAGCGAAAGCCTTGGTTTCATTTGCATTCTGCGATGGATAAAGTTTTACACACCTGAGTAGTACTTTCCTCCTGAGAGCAGGCTGTATCTATATTCACTTTTTCTAGCAGATATGAGCATCTAAACAAATAGCTGCATCTTTTCCCTAAGAAACTGTAGATTCAGCACATCCAATGGCTATTGGACAGAATCATTTAACTCTTAAAACAATGACTTTGTTGTTATGCTACAGGGTAATACTATGCTTTTTCCCTGAAAAGTGTCACAGTTTGAACTTTCTTTGAATAGCTGGTTATATTGGGTCAGAAGGTACTCTGTATTGGACAAGGAACAAACTGTACCACTCGATCATCTTATAGGAGAAGCACTGCAGTAAAATCAGAAACTTTGGGGACTAAAATCATACAACCTTTCAAGGAATACTCGATGACTCAATGTAACCCTTTTGGTTCTGCAGTAAACTGAGGCAGGGCGACCCATTTACAGACACTGAGTTCTTCCGCTCTCCTCTCTACAAAAGAAAAAAGAATCCTGGTAAAGCCAAGGGAATGACCCAGAAGATGAAAGAGGAAAAAGAATGGCTTCCTGAAGGATGTCCCAGTGCCAAGGTAGGCAAGTTTATAACAACAGGAACGAGTCAGGATGAAAATAACAGTTGAATAGGCAGCCTCCAAGTTCCTAGAAGCTTCTGTGTCCAGCCGCCATTGAAGAGGCCAGAGCAAAGATGGAGGTTGCTGACCAGACAGATGAACTATTCCAATCAGTGCAGCCAAAGGACCGATTCAATGAATTGAGCCTTGCACTGCAGATTTCTTCTGTTTTGAAATCTTTGGGACTCATGGGGTGGGGAAAGTGTTGGGTGGATGTCTGTTGTAGTGATGGACACGGCCCTTACATTCTGGATGGTTAGCTGCTCACTATCTTCTGCTTCCTTCCTGCGCTCTCCCTTAGTCCGCTATGTAAAGCTTGCCGCAGTGGAATATGAGCCCTGTACCCAACTGTCCTGGCTTTAGCTAGGGTAGGGTTAATTTCTTAGTAGCTCTTACAGTTTTGTATTTAGATTCGGAATGGTAATGCTGTTAACACACTGATGTTTTGGTTTTTTGCTAAGTTGTATTTATTCTAACTATATACCTAGAAGTGTGGCCAATCTGGGTTCAGGAAGGGGGGCTTGACATTGGTCAGTGGGTGGTGAGCAATTGCATTATGTAACACTTGTTTGTTTCCTTTTTATTATTGTTAGTTATTATTATTAATTACCATTATTATTGTATTCTTACTTTTATTTGCAATTATTAAACTTTCTTATCTCAACATACAAGTTTTACCTCAGTTCTCTTCCCTATTTCACTGGGTGATTGGGGGAAGAAATAGGGTTTTGAGCAAGTGGCTACATGGTGCATGATTTCCATCTAGGCCTAAACTGTGACAGCAACCAACATTTAGGAATGTTTGAGCGCTGGGTGAGGCAGAGGACCAGACCTAAGCATGTTTTGTCTCATTTTGAGTATTGCTGCAGGAAAAGTGATTGGAGAGAGGGTCCTGCAGAGGTGGGGCAGCGCTGTCCTGAGCCAACTCCCTGCTCTGCCTTGAGACTTGAGCTGGGGGGAGGGATTGAGCACACTTCCTGGAGAAGGGCTGGTTTTGCATGTGTGAACAAAAAAGCACAGAAAATCTAGTTTACATAAGAGACGTGTACCAGGTTAACTATAAAAGGGAGTGGATTGGGCCTCCATCTCTCTTCCCCGCCCTCCCCCTTTTCTGTCTTTCTCCTCTTCTCTTTGCCTGATCAACCCCAGCTCTCTCAGCCTGTCTTCATAGGAGATGTGCTCCAGCCCTCTGATCATCCTTGTGTCCCTCCTCTGGACTTGCTCCAACGGGTCCATGGCCTTCTTAAGTTGGGAACTCCAGAGCTGGATGCAGTACTCCAGTACTCAACTGAGTTTCAGGAAAGCCTGTACTCTTCCGTTGCAGACTGAGCACCTGCTGTCCTCCAGCATTTGTTTTTTTAGGGTCTACTGCTATCTAACTTTGAAGGTTATTGATAACAAATGTTTGAAGGAGTGGTGGGGAAAAGAAAGGATCATACTGGTTGTTAAAGGGAAGGAAATGTGCCCCCTTGGAAGCAGGAAAATTGTCTCTTCCTTCTTTGTGGCAGAGCAAGGAGAGGGATGCTCTGTTCTTCTGACCATACTTACTGCTTCTCTTTAGCACTTCAGCAACATCCATCAGTTCATGAGGATAGACTGGGTCTTGCTGTACTGTGCAGAGTCCTCCAGAAGATGGAAACTTTGTTAGTACAGAGGGAAAAGAGTGTCATCTGCAGTTGGGTAAATGCTACCACATTGCTTATATGTAAACAGTAGTAGAAAGTCATTAAAACTAGCAAACAAAAAGCATAAGATTTAAAAATGCCCTCTTACTTATTTGTTCAGCTTCCTCGAAGGTACCAAGCTTTCTCTGGTACTCTGTAACTCTGGAAGCCAGGTAGGAACAATAAATAACAGGGAATTTGTTAGAGGTGCTGTTGTAGTAGGACCTGCCTGACTGTGTTGAACTACTGATGTCAGAAGCCAGGCAGGAACATGGATCTCCAGCTGTTCCCAGTAATTGTTTTCATTGCCTCTAGGGGTCAGAAATGGGGCTTTTTCCAGCTCTATGTCTTATGTGCTTGTACTAACAGAATTGTAGACTGCATTCATTCCTATTGAAGGTATAGTGACAGTTCCTAGCAGTTATAGAGCTGTGTTTCAAACACATGCCTAATGTGTTTTGCTCATTTAGTCTAACATTGGCATTTCTCTCCTAATCACCACCTTCAGCTAGTCAGCTGTGCAGAGTCAGAGTTAGTTCAGGTCTAACCAGCTTCTCTTTTGCCAAGTGGTGATATATCAGTTTCTATTAGTCCTAGAATAAAATTTCAATGGAAGTGGTACCTTTTAAATTCCTGTATGCTACCTGATGCTTACCACACTACAGGTCACAGCTTTACCTGGGCCAGAACAAATTAAAACTCTATTCTAAGAAGGGAGATATTATTTTGTGCTTATACCATGTTCCAGCAGTTCTGTCCCAGCCTGTACTGGATTGTGCCGAAAGCTACTGGACTGTCTCTCTGAGGCAGAATTTCCCAATATCTGCTAATCACACAAAGGAAGGAGAGACACAAAGAATGTTACTTGGTTTTTATTTTAGTCTGAACTAAAACTATTCCTTAAAAAACCCCCAACACAAAACCGTGGATGGAACAGTTTTTCACAGTTATGATCTGATGCTGTATCACAACAGAAAGGGTAAGTAATAGCCCAGACAATTAGAGAGAAGTTTTGCACCTTTATGAATTGGGGGAAGGGAGAAGAGATAACAGTTCCTATGCTTCACATCCAGTCAGAAGGAGCATAACTAAATGCAGGGCCTGCATTTAGACACTGCAGCATGACTTTAATAGGCTCTTAGCCTGTAAGGCTCGTTTCCAGCATTTACTAAGTGCTTCTTGAATGCTACAGTCCTGATCACAGCAATGGAACCAAATCCCTTAGTGTCAGGATACTCTTCTCCTGTTGGCACTGAAAGATAAATTGAGAGGGACTGCAATAGAGCTGGCATAGCCCTCTGAACCCACTTATACTCATGGACAGTACTGGAGAGAGGAGGACGGTTCTGATTTCTAAGGTCACAGTAGGTCACCACCAGTTTGACCAGAGATGTGACACAGACTGGCTTTCAGACTGAGGTAAAGAGATAAGAGAAACACAGATCCAAGTCACAGAGAGAAACCTCAGGTGTGCTGTTAGGAGTCTAGACCCACATTGAGCTTGAACACTATCACATTCATCTGCTTGGCAAAAGTAGGGCCTAGCGCAGCAGCTCAAGGGGTTTAAGAAAACATGATCTTTTAAAAATTTTAAGTGTTATGTTCATTTTTGTCTAGTGTTTGAAATGTTACACAACAAAGCATGATAAAGTGCCACATATGCAAGCAATGATAGAAAATCCAGGTACATGTTTGCTCCAATATCCTAAAGTTCCCACTAACTGTTGTAATTCCTTCTTTGATTTGGGGCATCTGTATTTGTTTTATTTCCTTTAAAGTGTCTGGAGGAACTGCTGCACTGACTGCAATCCACCAAGTACCCCAAAATTTTACTTCTTTATTTGGTCCTTGACATTTTTCAGGTGGAATTTCAATTTCTGTTTCATGTAATGCTTCCCACACCGCTGCTGCTTCCTTCACCTTTTCATGGGAATCTCCTCCAATTGGAATATCATCTGTATATTGGCACAGTTTCACATCTGGGGGGAGTGAGACTGTCTATAAAAATTCAGCAAGTACATTGTGAGCAATCGTGGGTAAATGTTTTTATACCCCTGAGGGAGCCTGTTAAGAAAATCTAGAACTGGTGAGAAAATGACTGTTAAAAAAGCAAGCACAGGAAAAAAGAAAACAAGTGCAATTAAAAACAGTGCAAAAAGTAGTCCTGATATATCTCAAGGTGAAGAGCGTGCTCAAAATGCAAAGAAGCTTCTTCAGGCAAAAGTTGCAACGTGTTGTTCTACTGAGTCAGAAGTTTTTGAGGTGGGGCAAAAGGCTTGTGTGGGGGCTTTTGACAGCAAGAACAGAGACTGTAGTGTGGAGCACCATTCCCACTCTCCTGATAGAATCCAAGATCTTGAAAGTACATATGTGGTGAATCCAGGACAGCTGCCCAGTCTTGAAAGTGGTGACTTAATGCAACAGGTTAAGAGATCCAAAGTATGGAAAGTTTATTAAAAAGCCCAGTTCATACCTTCTCAAGTTATGATGTTCCCTCAGGTGATTCCAGGCCACAAAATTTGCTTTTCTTCAGGAAAGAGACTTCAAGTGCCTGTGCTTTGCAAGAGGACTCAAGTGTGAGCAGAAAGAGCATCAGACAGAAAACCAACAGAAAAACTAGAGTAATTAGGCAAAGAGTTGATTTTGATGAGGAGTATCTGCCAAAGAGTGTGAAAATACCAGAGGCCAAAGCTGAAGAACATCCTAAAAGAAGCACAACAAAGCATGATATGGTGCCACTTACACTCTCATGTAAGTGGGAGACACCTTGCTAGGGGAGCTTGAGTAGAACCCCTGCCTTAAAGTTTGGGCAGAGAGGCCAGCTTCTGCTTCAAGTTTTCAGCGAGCTTGTCCATGAACTCAAAGGTGTTCAGGTAGTCAGAGCGTGTGACACTGGAGGGGGGGAAACAAAAAACTAGCATTAGTTGTACAGATTCTCATATGATCAAAGTAGGGGAAGACTGTTCAAAGAACTCTAAGTCTTGCATCTAAATCCAAAAGAATTATCTCCTACTCATCAGGCTGCGTTCTTTTTTTCCTGCCAAAAGGCTCCAGAGAAGAGGGTATATTTGGCAGTTATGTAGGTTTTCTTCATTTATTAGGATGAAGGTAGGATCTGACCAATGTAGCTAGACTGTCTTAAAAAAAATCTCTTTACAGTTCCTTCCTTACTTTTTTGCCTGTTCATTTGGTACAATAACAGGGACCAAGCAATCTAGACTAAGCTGCTTTGGTCAGGGAGTGTCTCGTGTTCTGTTAGTACAGCACAGAGTACAGTGAGTCCTGTTCTGAGGCAGACTCCTGTTCTTCACCATACTAAAATAACATTCCAGCAAATGCTGTTCAGAACCACCACGTAAAACAGCCTCCTTCAAGCACAGCTGGTTATTTCATACACTTACTTAGGTAGGCCTTTGATACAGGCAGCAAGGTCCTTTGTCATGAAGCCAGACTCGATGGTCTCAATGCAGACTTCTTCCAGGGCAACTGCAAAGTTCTTGAGGCTAGTGTTGTTGTCCAGCTTAGCTCTGTGAGCAAGTCCTCTTGTCCAGGCGAAGATGGAGGCTGAGAGAGAACATTGGGTTATTCTATCCTTCTAGAACTCCCTGGAAATCGTTCTGAATCATCACGTGAAACAATAATTGGATTTTTTATATCAATAAAACTGAAAACAGAGGAAAAATATAGAAAATCTGGTATGGGAAAGAGAACACTTATCTTCATCTAGGTATTCTTTGCCTTTTGTGCAGCTCTAAAAAAGAACAGACCCCAGAAAGTACTCACTGCCTCCAGTAATCTCTTCACACATCATTTTATCTTTCTTTCTGACTTGGGTAGGAACAAAGTACGACATGTGGTAGGACTCTGTGGTTACACAGAACATTATCTTTGTGACAGAAGGGTGCAGTCTTCTTCCTCCTGCTATATTACACTCTGGTCTCTATGCAATTTTAAAGGATTCTTTCCCTCATGTCCCATTTTAAGTGCATTGACACTTTAAGTGTGTAGTTAAAGTCTGGGGTGTGGCTGGGTCTTTTGGAGCATCAGAAAGATGAGTAAAATAAACAACCAATCTAAACCTTAAGGCCCTTATGGCTATAAATCGCTTGCCGAAGAGTGAATGCATGTCTCAAAGTCTAGGTTAGGTCTAGCTTATTCCTCACACTCACTCCATTCCAGCCTGATTTTGCTCCAGTCTCTGTAGAGGCCCAGAGGAGTTCACTATAGTCCAGTGATGGATTGTGGTGGTGCATTCCCCTGCCCACCTCCTCAGGCCACACTGTGACCCAAGAAATGCTCATTAAGCCTTGGCCTTAATGAACCATGCCTGGACTAAGCCCCTCTCAAGCTTATGAGAAACACTGTCTGTGGTGTAATGTCAAACACCAATAACCAATGTCCATGGACCCAACCAAGGACTGTTGGTATTAACATGCTGTGAGAAAGAACAAGACTTGACTGGAGAAGGGGGGGCAGGTGGAGATAGGGCAGCACTTTTCTGTGAGAGAAACCACAACACAGTACAGCGCAAGGGCAAGAATGAGTGGGAGGAAGTAGGCATGGACTATAGGGTGGAATTGAGACCAAAGACCTCCCTCTCTTTTCTGCTCTTCTTTAATTCTCTCTTTTCCTTTCTTTCTTTCATTCATCTTTCCCTCTTTAATTTCTCTCTTCCCTTTCATCCTATCCCTTTATCCAAAACCCACAGCTGTGTGCTTATACAGTATGTCAGGAACTAACATACCAATTTCCATGTCAAGTGTGTAATTCACTAATAAAACTTTATGATTGTTTGTGGACACTGACTTTTGTTGTTCCTTTCCACCAACGAGCACTTATGAATGTTAGATGCTTCTTCCCGTTAAGGGTGGGTCGTCACAGTCACCACTAAAGAAAAATGCATTATGAACTGCATTATTGCAGTTTCAGTGGTGCAATTCTCTGCAGAAAGGATGCAGATGTTCTCACTCTAAGCTTGTTCTTTCATGTGTTGAGATCACTGAAGGGCAGTAAAAGGCAGCTCACCAATGGGGTTAGTGGAGGTTTCTTGGCCTTTCTGGTGCATGCGGTAGTGACGAGTAACTGTGCCATGAGCAGCTTCTGCTTCAACAGTCTTGCCATCGGGGCAGATCAGCACACTGGTCATCATTCCCAGAGAACCATAGCCTACAGAATAATACAAGTGTAAAAAGCTCAGTGTCTCCTTTGGACAGCTCCACTAAATTCCCCTTAACACCCCCATCCTACAATCCCCCTACATACTCCCAGCCTTGATGTGAGTATCCCTGAACAGCAAGTGCTGCTGCAACTAACTGGCTAATCATAACAGCTCATCTGATCAGGAAGTGCTGCTGAACCATGAGATAGAGATATACAGACATTCTGCACCATTTCAAGAAAATCAGCGTT